AAACCACAAGATACCACTTCACACCTATCAGAATGGCTATCATTGAAAAGAGCACAAATAAAAAATGTTGGTGAACATGTGGAAAAAAGGGACCATTTTATACTCTTGTTGGGAATGTAAATTGGTGCAGCTACTGCGGAAAACAGTATGGAGGTTTCTCAAAAAACTAAAAATAGTACTACCATATGACCCAACAAAAACCCACTCTTGGGTATATATCCAACAAAAAAACCCCAGTCATTTGAAAAGATACATGCAACCCCAATGTTCCTAGCAGCATTATAATTGCCAAGATATGGAAGCAACCTAAGTGTCCATCAACAGATGAATGGATAAAATTGGGTATATACACACACACACACACACACACACACACACACACAATGGAATATGACTCAGCCATAAAAAAGAATGAAATTTTGTCATCTACAGCAACATGGATGGACTTGGAGGGCATTATGCTAAGTGAAATAAGTCAGACAGAGAAAGACAAATACTGTATGATATCACTTATATGTGGAATCTAAAAAATACAACAAAGTAGTGAATCTAACAAAAAAGGAGCAGACTCACAGATATAGAGAACAAACTAGTGGTCACCAGTGAGGAGAAGGGGGAGGGGCAGTATAGGGGTGGAGGAGTGGGAGGTATGAACCACTGGGTATAACATAGGCTCAAAGATGTGTTGTACAATGTGGGGAATATAGCCAATATTTTGTAATAATTGTAAATGGAAAGTAATCTTTATAATTGTATGAAAAGTTTTTTAAAAAGTTAAAAAAAATCCATGTACCCATGTCTTGGTTTCCAAATACTGTCTCCCACTAAATGGTACCAGAGATCCATAGAGAAATGGTCAATGAGTCAGGAAACACCAGACAAACATGAAAGTAAAAAAGTAAGGAAATATTGAACTCAAAGTATATATCAAAGAATGATGGGAATATGTCAAATAATCAGAGAATCCAGGTTGAATGGGCTGCCACTGGGACAATTTGAGCATTAAAATAAATTATGATAGCAATAGCGTATTCATGAAATAAAGTAAAAAAATCTGTGTGCCAAACTAAGATAAATAAATAAATAGATGGAGGGGGAAAAAAGCTCTTCCTTGAAGTAGAATACAAACTAATGTAGTAAAAATGATGATGTTTGAAAATGACCATTTTGCAGCCTTCATAGTAATAACTGATTTGGTAAAGAATTATCAATAGATATTAAGGCCAGTGGATTTTAGTTTGATGAGGAATAGGGTATCTACACAGTTTCAAAGTACCCCCAGCAAAATTATTAACTACAAAGAGGAAAACGGAACTTTATAGTGGATTAATCTAGCAAACATCATCTGAACAAAGTAATCAAGGTTAACATTTCTTCTAAGGGGTCAAATCAATATTATACGTCACTGATATGCTGCCCTAAGAACAATATATTACTTCTCTGACATTCCTGCCAAAATGCATAATCTATACATAATAATGAGGAACTGGCATGCAAATTTAAACTTAGGAACAATCTACAAAATAATTGTTCTGTAGTCTTTTAAATTGTCAATGTCATGAGAGACAAAGAAAGGTTGAACTGTTCCAGGTTAATAATAATAAAAAACTGAAGAGACATGAGAACTAAATGCAATGCATCATCTTGGATTGAAATTTTGATCAGGAAAAGAAAATAGCTATAAAAGACATTATTGGGATAAATAGGTGAAATTGGAATATGGCCTAGATAATAATATTGGAACCCCAATTTCATATACTACAAAACTATAGTAATCAAAAGAGTATGGTGCTGACATAAAAACAGACATACAGACCTTGGAACAGAATCGGGAGCCCAGAATAAAATGCTGCATATACAGTCCACTAATATTTGACAAGGGATCTGAGAGTACTTAATGGAGAAAAGATAGTCTATTTCATAAATAATGCTGAGGAAACTGAATATTCACATGAAAAAGAATAAAACTGGAGCCCAAACTTATACCACTCACAAAAATTAATTCAAGATAGATTAAAGACTTAAAGGTAAGAATCTGAAACCATGAAATTCCTAGAAGAAAACAGGGAAAAAGCTTCTTGATATCTGTCTTTGCAATGATTTTATGGATATGACACCCGAAGCATAAGCAACAAAAGCAAAAAATAAACAAATGGGACTATACCAAACTAAAAAGCTTCTGCACAGAAAAAGAAATGATTGACAAAATGAAAAAGCAAACTATGGAATGGGAGAAAATATTTTTAAAACATATATCTGATAAGAAATTAATATCCAGAATATATAAGGAACTGATACAACTCAATACCAGAAAAACAAGTAATCTAATTCAAAAAGGTGCAAAAGACCTAAATAGACATTTTCCCAAAGAAGACATATCTGGCTAACAGGCACATGAAAAGGTACTCAACATCACTAATCGTCAGGGAAATACAAATCAAAAACACAATGAGATATCTCACACTTTTTAGAATGGCTATTAACAAAAGCAGGAGATAACAAATGCTGGTGATGATATAGAGAAAAGTGAAACCTTGCATATCCCTTGATGGGAATGTGAACTGAAATATCTACTATGGAAAGCAGTATGTTGGTTCCTCAAAGAACTAAAAACAGAACTACCATATGATCCAGCAATTCCACTCCTCGGTATATCTGAAGGAAATGAAATCACGATCTCGAGATATCTGCAACCCCTATGTCTACTGCATCATTATTTACAATAACCAAGATGTGGAAACAAACTAAGTGTCCACTGACAGATGAATGGACAAAGAAAAAAAATACACAATGGAACATTATTCAGCTATAAAAATAAAGGAAATCTTGTCATTTCTGACATAGTGGATAAACCTTGAGGGCATCAGGCAAAGTGAAATAAGTCAGGCAGAAAAAGATACATACTGTATGCTCTCACTTATGCATGGAATCTAAAAAAACTGAACTCATAGAAACAGAGAGTATATTGGTGGTTTCCAGGGGTGGTAGGGTAGGGGAAATGGGTGAAAGTGGTCAAAGGGTATAAACTTTCAGTGGTAACATGAATAAGTTCTAGGGATCTAATATAAAGTATGATGTATATTATACTGTAACTAATACTATAGTTATAGTATATATAGTTATATAACTATAGTTAGTAGAGTTAATACTATAGTATAATGACTATAGTTAACAATTCTGTATTGTATACTTACAAGTTGCTAGGAGAGTAGATCTTAAAAGTTCTCACCACACACACAAAAAAATAGTAACTATACAAGGTGATTGATGTGTTAACTAATCTTATCCTGTGTAATCATTTTGTAATATATACATGTAGCAAATCATCACACTGTACACTTTAAACTTACAATGTTATATGTCAAATATAACAGTATGGAGGTTCCTTAAAAAACTAAAAATAGAACTACCATATGAGCCAGCAATCCCACTACTGGGCATATACCCTGAGAAAACCGTAATTCAAAAGGACACATGTACCACAACGTTCATTGCAGCGCTATTTAGAATAGCTATGATATGGAAACAAATGTCCAATGACAGATGAATGGATAAAGAAGATGTGGTACATATATACAATGGAATGTTACTCAGCCATAAAAAGTAATGAAATTGGGTCATTTGTGGAGATGTGGATGGACCTAGAGTCTGTCATATAGAGTGAAGTAAGCCAGAAAGAAAAAAATAAATATCGTATATTAGCGCATATATGTGGAACCTAGAAAAATGGTACAGATTAACCTATTTGCAGGGCAGGAATAGAGATGTAGACATAGAGAAAGGACATGTGGACACGGTGGGGGAAGGGGAGGGTGGAACGAATTGGGAGATTAGGTTTGACATAAATACACTACCATGTGTAAAATAGCTAGTGGGAACCTGCTGTATAGCACAGGGAGCTCAGCTCAGTGCTCTGTGACGACCTAGATGGGGCGAGGGGTGGCAGGGAGGTTTAAGAGGGAGGGGATATTGGTATACATATAGCTGATTCTGATTCACTTCATTGTACAGCAGAAGCTAACACAACACTGTAAAGCAATTATACTCCAATAAAAAAAAATAAAGCTGGAAAAAATGAACTATAATAGAGTTTACATTGTCCATTTGAAATACATGTTCTCCCAAACTCATCCCTTTTTCAGTGAGTATGAATGGATAATCTTGACAATAAAGGTTTATGGGACAAAAAATTGGAACAATGTCCAATTTCTCTTTTGACACATATACTGAGGTTATGTAATAGAAAGGCATTATTCTGAGGAAATATACACTGAAGTATTTACAGGTAAAGGAGCATGATGTCTGCAAGTTACTCTCAAATAGTTCAAAGAGAGAGAAGGAGGGAGGGGGGAAGCTTAAGACAGGGAAGGGAAAGGGGAAGGGAGAGTGAGAGGGAGAAACAGAAATAGAGAATTATAAAGCAAGCATGGTAAAATGGTAATTGGTGAACCTGGGTAAAGGGTGTATGGGAGTTCTTTGTAATATTCTCAGAACTTTTCTTTAAGTGTAGAATTAGATCAAAATAAAAGGTTTAAAATCACAAGTGTAAATATCATCAATAACTCCATCACCGAATAGCGTAATCAGTTTCCCTATGTATTTAATGAAAGAAAAAGTTTTATATTGCTGAAATCTATTGGGATGAGGAGCCAGTGTATAATTTGTTTTTGCTACCAGAAGAAAAATAAAGATGAAGTTTAACTGTAACTGGATTAATGATTTCACAATATGATCTCTAAAAGAGAGATCATATGTATGTAAATTGAAAAAAAACCAAATAACTCATGAGTCAAAAAAGAAATCATAAGAGCAATTAGATAATAATAATTGAATAATAATAAAAATACTACACATAAAAACCTGTGAAATTCTTCTAAAGTGGTATGTAGTGGAAAACTTCGTTATAAATTCTTATTTTAGGAAAGAAGATTTAAAATTACTGAGCTAATGGTCCAAATAAATAAATTAGAAAAACAGCAAACAAAAAGAAAGTAAAGAAAAAAATAAAGATAAAAGGAAAAATTATAAAAATAGGGGACAAAATATTCAATGGTGAGGCCTGATGAAACCAAAAGCAGGAAATACATTAGAAAACTGAATATTATAATTTATCACACAGTCACAGTGTCATATTAATGGAGGAAAATACCCCATATGATCATGGCAGTAGATACAAAGTATTTGGAGAAAAAACTCCATACTCATTCAGAATAAAAGCTCTCAGCAAACTAAGAATACAAAGGAATTTCTTTAACCCGAAAAAGAAAATCTACTAAAAATGGTGAAACACGTATAGTTTCCTTGTAAATTCAGGAGCAAGACAAGGAAATCCTCTGTCACTGCTACTATTTCTCATTGTACCGAAGATCCTAGCTAGCCCGGTAAGACAAATTAAAAAATAAATATTGGAAAGGAACAAACTGCCATTATTCACAATATAATAAATTAACAGATAATCCAGAGAACCTACAAATTATTAGAACAGATATAAATCAGAAAGGTTACAGTGTATAAAATCAGTATGTAAAAATATCAATCGTGTTCTCATTTACGGGCAATAATCTGAAAATGTGGTTTAAAATATACATTTCACAGTAAGAGCAGGAACTATAAGGTAATTAGGAATGAATATAGCAAAACAGCTTATAGATAACATTATTATTATATGGTATATATGCTTTCATATAATGTAGAAAATGGTTTCAATTTATCATTTGGTGCTAGCTTTTTGTCTGGCTAGTTATATTTAATGTGTCATAATCAACTCTTATTCCTGCTCCTTCCTTAAAAAGTTTTTGGTAAAGAGATTACCTTAAAAATCACAACTTCCTGAAGCAGGACATCAGAAAAGCAGGGTAGCATTGTCAATAATCTTCATTGTCTTCACTGAATAACTATTTTATGGATGCACCAAGGAAATGGAGTCATACTGCAATCCCTCAAAGACTGAAAAATAATAAAATAACATTAAATCATTTCTTCTGTTACTGTTCATCTCTTTCCCCTGGGCTCCTCAAGTCCTTATGCTTTACCATACCCACATTGCAGTTATATATTCATGAAAAACAGTTATATAGACAGTAGTAGAAGGGATCTATTGTATAGCAATTATGAGCAGAGACTTTAGGAAGCTTTGTAGAACAGTGTCTGGCACATAAAGATGTTCACTAAATATTTGCTATTATTATAATTTTCAATGATTTGAGTCACTGGAGGAAATTATGTAGCTCTTGCACTTTTCGCCCTGTACAGCCTTCTTTGTTTTCTGTTTGAGCATTGCTATCCCTATGGTGCCTCCCAGCCCCAACTCTACCCCTTTGAACAAAGAGGTAAAGTTGAGGGAAATCAGGCAGTAAGGAATGACTGGGTGATGCTTCCAAGCACAATAGAGCTCATTCTTTTTCTATGCACTACCACCAAGCCCCAAGTCCAGAACTCCCTTAGTTGTCACTGTTATCCCATCATTCATTGGCCTATTTATTCAAATATCTGTTTCACTCCTATGTGCTTTGGTTATCCATCCCCTACAGCTCCCAGCATAATGCCTAGTCCATTGTAAGGGCTTCTTAAAGGTTTGTTGCATGAATGAAGAAAGGATGCCCTGTCTCCTTTGGATTACAAGAATCTGTGAGGTTTTGGTCAGAGTTTATTTTTTGTATTCTATAAGCTCATCTAAATAGAAGATCATTTTTCTGATAGTAAAAACTGGACTGCTAAAATACAATACTTCCTTGAAAATCTTCAGTGGTTCCCACTGCTTATGGATTAAACTGCATAATCCTTAGCATAACATTTAAAGCCCTGCAGCACTCTATCTCACCTAGTTCTTCTCATACATTCAGAGTTATAGCCAAGTTTTCCTAGAACAAGCCTGCCTTGGGAAAGGTAAGCCAGAAAAACATTCTCTCCCCCTCCACATGGCAGATGTCACTCACCCTTTAAGGTCCACCCAGAGTTACCCCTTCCTCTTTGATGGCTCAAGATTACTACCAGGCAGAATGATTTGGTCCATCTCATCCCCCACCCCCCCCCGTGCTTCCTAAATACCTTGAACAAGCAAACATTATGGCACTTGGGTTTGAGTTACCATATTGTAACTTTTTGTTTTTTACTAATTGAATTTTCCTGCCATACACAGAGAAGCACACACCTCTGAAGGCTCACCTTACAATACTGCTACCACAGTGCTAGCCATAGGAATTAGGCCTTCAATATAATGTTGTTATTGATCTTGAACCAATCATTTTTTGAATGGAAAAGTTTCAAATATACACAAAAGTAGCAAGAACAGTTTAATGAATCCCCATGTATACGTCACTCAGCTTTAACAATTATTAATTCATGAACATTTTGTTTGTACCCCTCACCTGGGCCCTACTGAATTACTTTCAAGCATATCAAAAGATTAAGTCTACTTCTTAAAAATATAACCACGATTGTCATAGCTAATATATTAAAATAATTACTTAATGTTATTAAATATCCATAAATTCACCCCCACATATTTTGTGAAAGAGTTATTTAATGCCTGCATGTTCTTTCTTCAACTTTGAAATCCTGGAGAGAATAGGGAAAGGGAGAAGGAGATCTGGGAAAATATATAATTAAGTTTCAGAGAGCCTGGATATCCCAAATGAGAAAGAATCTGACCTGGTTTGGGGTGAGAGAAGTATATTGTACTATTTCTCCGGAGAAGGTGGGTGCGACTTCAGGCCCGGTGATGCTGGAGGAGGTGTGGAAGGGAGAGGGGTACTACCTCCGTTGGGGGTTCCTTCTGGATAATCCCAACGTGGAGCTAGGAGGCAGCGCTTTTTTGGAGGCTTGATTTCCCGCGTGTTTCCAGGCTGGAGCGTGGATCTCCCGGAGGTACAAGTTTGGTCCCCCATAAGGATTATAGGACCCGGGTGTCAGCTCTCTCCGGTGGGCCCTGGAGAAGCCAAGAGACCGGAGATGGCGGCGGGTCCCCTCCAGGCACAGAGCTTCCTCCCGGTTTCGCTTTTTCCGTATTTCCTGTATCCTGAGACGTATATCCCCTCTCCTCCTCGCTCCCTACCCCACCACATTTTAACGTTTCTACAAGGATGGGTCTTTAAAAAAACGATGCTCATATTTAATATAATGTTTTCCCCATCTCGCCCCCCAGTGTAACTAAATCTGTGAACAGTCTTATACTGTCTATGAAATTCTAAGTTACAAGAAATTTAGGTTTACTCATAAGTGGTAAACTCTGCGTAGATTGTTGAAAGGCGCTTGGTGTGGGGGCGGGGCGGCGGGGGGTGAGGAGAACAAAGAGGTGATTGAAGAGCTAAGAGCTTTACGATCTAGTTGCAGAAGCACAACACAGAGCCATGAAACAATCTACGACCATTTAGAAAGCAATAAACAAACGTCTTAGTTGACTAAAGTGCAGAATAGCACACCAGCCACCAGCACTGACCGTGGAAATTGAATGTAGAAAACAAATTCTTCGTATGTCATAGAATCTAAGATTACTTTCTTCTTCATATTTTAACAAATTAGAAATCTCTGAAGGCTTATCTTTTAAAAAATATTTCAACATCTAGGAAATCTCTGACAATTGATGGTATGTCATACTTTCGTTGTCAATTTTTTATCTTTTCTAGAGTTAAGGAAAATAATGATTCATCCTCCTATGGCTGGTGTATTATATTCTGGGATATACGGTAAGCAACCGGAAGAGGGTGCACTGTGGCTTAGAATAAAAGGCTATTGGAACTTCTTAGACCTTCCTCATTCACATCCATCTCCCTTTGGCTATGGACACACTTTTCCAGCACTGTCCCCAGTGTTTTTTAATGTAGAGAGTTCAATCCTTAATGTCAAAATAGAACTGACTTTTAAAATACTCTGCTATTTACAATCTCTGTGATAGTTAAGCAGTTGATTAAGCACTTGAGGCTTTCGTTTCCAGGAGATAATAATTTCTTCCTTGTAAAACTATTGCCATAATCAGGGATAATGCATTTAAGACACTTACTATGATTACCTCTCATCTCCACCATCACTACCTTCTTCCAAATACTAGTGCTGCCCTTTACACAAACTAGATACTCAGTAAATGTTTGGGAAATAAATGACCCTGTGGTTTTCTACCAGATGCTACTTATAAAGACAAGAAACGTAGCAGTAAGTTAATGAAAAGATGTGAAGGGAAATACAAAGAAAAAATGCTCTAGAGCTAGAAGAACAGTTGGGACTAGGCATAAAGATGTGGGAGTTAGCAACAAAGAATTGGTAGTTGAAGTCATGAGTGATGTTCCCAAGAGAAAATGTAGAGGAAAATAGAAGTGGGCTGCTAAAGGCAGACTATTGAGCAATTAAAGTCAGAAGAGGAGAAGCCTGCTGCAAAGGCTGAGAAAGAGTGGCCAGATTCAGAAGAGAGGGTGCCAACCCAAGGTTTCTCACTCTTGGCACTATTGACATTTGGGGACAGATCACTCTTTCTGGTGGGAGCCTGTCCTGTGCACTGTAGGATGTTTAACAGTATCCCAACCCAGGCCAATAGCATGCCCCCCACAACCCGCAACTGCCTCCAGGTGTGGTAACCAGAAATGTCTCCAGGCACTCCCAAATGTCCCCTGGGGGGGAAATCATACCTTTTGAGAACAGTTGATCTAGCCCTAATCCTCCAAACTTGCTCCTTTCCTACTCTTCATTTCAGTGAATGTCACAATTCTATCCAGTTGTACAAGTCAAACCTTGGAGTTTTGTGTGTGTGTGTGTGTGTGTGTGTGTATATCAGACTATTTATTATTTCCCAAAGTAAATGTAGTAATATTTTCACAATCTTTTTACAGGGGTCTCTAAATCTTGCAAGACAAAAGACTTTAAGAGTAAAATTGGAAATTAAGTTGTTTTATAGCTATAGATATAGTTTTAGTAAATTAAGAGAAATATGTGCCTATTTTAGTAAAATGACTGGAATTAAAAATTGTATCAAATCCAGGTGGGTTTGATTTATGGGAAACATTTGACTTGAGTTGAAAACATTCCCAACTTAGAGCTGCTGACATCAACCCGAACCATTTATACTTTAAATGGATTTATTTATTTTTATTTTAAACTGCATTAAAATGCATATAACGTAAAATTGACTATATTAACCTTTTTTAAGTGTACAGTTCAGTCATGCTAAGTATATTCACAGAGTTGTACAACCAAAGTCCAGAATTTTTTATACCCATTAAACAACTTCACATTTTCCCCTCTCCCCAGCCCTGTCAAACACCATTATACTCACAACTGGATTTTTGTGTTTTTTTGTTATACTAGAATGGAAAACTAAAGCCTTTTACTTCTAGGTTTCAAAATGATTTTTCCCCATCATTTTTTCCAAGTTCAGCCTTTTTTTTTTCAACATTGATGAACTAGCTGCATGTGAAACATTGAACAAGAAGAGGGCATTGCCAAGGTGAAGGACTATAGATCTGAATTTCTTTCATAATTTCAAGTGCTCAAAGGATGACAACAGAGAACAAAACTGAACCCTCTGGGCGATAGTAATCTGTTTTCATTTAGGGTTTTTTAATTGAGGAGTTCGTTGATTCATTTTGTTTTTTCTGGAAATTAGCTTTCATCTTAAGGCCAAGAATTTTTCTCTTCTTTGAACAAATATAAAGGACTTCTCTGTTAATTTTTTTAAGGTAAAAATCTAAGGATAAGAACCATGGGGTCCCTGTAACATCCTCATAAAATGAAAAATAAGAATGATTTGGAGGAAGACTACATGTATTTTTGTGTGTGTGTTTTACTTCAGGTTTTTTATTTTATTTTTTCGGCACGCGGGCCTCTCACTTGCTGCGGTCCCTCCCCCTGTGGAACACAGGCTCCGGACGCGCAGGCTCAGAGACCACGGCTCACGGGCCTAGCTGCTCTGCGGAATGCAGGATCCTCCCGGACCGGGGCACGAACCTGCATCCCCTGCATCGGCAGGCGGGCTCTTAACCACTGCGCCACCAAGGAAGCCCTTACTTCAGGTTTTTAATGTAATATTTCACTTAGAATTTTTTAGAATTCTATGAAACACAAAGAAGAAAGTAACAAGATCTATTATCTCTCTATCTAGATAGCCTCTATAAACATTCAAAAGATTAAATAAGTAAAAGAGATAAAATAGTGTAAGATTAGAAAAAATTAATACTGCAGAAAGATCCAATGAAAAGTAAAAATATCCAAAGTTGGCCATTATAGTCATGATTCAATAATTAATAGCGTGGAGAAGAGCAGAATATAAATTTGTATATGTTTACACAAACACACACATAAACACAGATATGTGTGTGAGAGTTGCATCTACCTGCATATGTGTTGCTTTTCATTTCACAAAGGTGATCATACATTCACCATTTTGGTAGGGTGTTTTTTTAAAGTTAACCATGTAGCTTGGTGATTTTTCCATGTAACATGTTCTTTATTCTCATTTTTAAAGGTCCTTTTAATGGCTGCACACAAACCCATTGTATGGACTTACCATAATTTTTTATTTAAATAATTATCTATTCATGGATGTTTGTGGATACTTTGGTTGTTTCCAGTTTTTAAAATTGAAAATTAATCCATATACCATAAATTCACCTTTTTATAGTATACAATTCAGCATTTTAAAGTATACACAAAATTGTGCATCCATTACCACTATCTAATTCCAGAATATCTTTATCACTTCAAAAAGAAAACATGTACAAATTAGCAGTCACTCCCAATCCTCCATCCCACAGCCACTGGAAACCACTAATCTATTTTCTGTCTCTATGGATTTGACTATTCTGGATATTTCATATAAATGGAATCATAGAAATAACAAGATGGCAGAGTAGAAGGACGTGCGCTTACTCCCTCTTATGAGGACACCGGAATCACAACTAACTGCTGAACAATCATCAACAGGAAGACACTGGAACTCACCAAAAAAGATACCCCACATCCAAAGACAAAGGAGGAGCCACAATGAGATGGGAGGAGGGGCGCAATCACAATAAAATCAACTTCCATAACTACTGGGTGGGTGACTCACAAAGAACACATATAGCACAGAAGTCCACCCACTGGAATGGAAGTTCTGAGCCCCACATCAGGCTTCCCAACCTGGGGGTCCGGCAATGGGAGGAGGAATTCCTAGAGAATCAGACTTTGAAAGCCAGTGGGATTTGATTGCACGACTTTGACAGGACTGGGGGAAACAGGGACTCCACTATTGGAGGGCACACACAAAGTAGTGTGTTCATCAGGACCAGGGGAAGGAACAGTGACCCCATAGAGACTGAACCAGACCTACCTGCTAGTGTTGGAGGGTCTCCTGCAGTGGCTGAGGGTAGCTGTGGCTCAACGTGAGGACAAGAACACTGGCAGCAGAAGATCTGGGAAGTACTCCTTGGCGTGAGCCCTCCCAGAGTCGGCCATTAGCCCCACCGAGGAGTCCGGGTAGGTTCCAGTGTTGGGTTGACTCAGGCTAAACAACCAACAGGGAGAGAACCCAGCCCCACCCATTAGCAGACAAGCGGATTAAAGTTTTACTGAGCTCTGCCCACCAGAGCAACACCCAGCTCTATCCACCACCAGTCCCTCCCATCAGGAACCTTGCACAAGCCTCTTAGATAACCTCATACACCAGAGAGCAGACAGCAGAAGCAAGAAGAACTAGAATCCTGCAGCCTGTGCAACAAAAACCACATTCACAGAAAGATAGACAAGATGAAAAGGCAGAGAGCTATGTACCAGATGAAGGAACAAGATAAAACCCCAGGAAAACAACTAAATGAAGTGGACATAGGCAACCTTCCAGAAAAAGAATTCAGAATAATGATAGTGAAGATGATCCAGGACCTCAGAACAAGAATGGAGGCAAAGATCGAGAAGATGCAAAAAGTTTTAACAAAGACCTAGAAGAATTAAAGAACAAACACCTAGAAGAATTAAAGAACAAACACCTAGAAGAATTAAAGAACAAATGAACAGGGATCAATAATACAATAACTGAAGTGAAAAATAAACTAGAAGGAATCAATAGCAGAATAACTGAGGCAGAAGAACGGATAAATGACCTGGAAGACAGTTGGTGGAATTCACTGCCACAGAATAGAATAAAGAATGAAAAGAAATGAAAACAGCCTTCAGACTTCTGGGAAAACATTAAAGTCTTCATTCATTAAAGACTTCATTCAGCCTTCACAGACTTCTGGGACAACATTAAAAGCAACAACATTCGCATTATAGGGGTCCCAGAAGGAGAAGAGAGAGAGGAAGGACCCGAAAAAATGTTTGAAGAGATTATAGTGAAAGATTCCCTAACATGGGAAAGGAAATAGTTAATCAAGTCCAGGAAGCACAGAGTGTCCCAGGCAGGATAAACTCAAGGAGAAAGATGCCGAGACACATAGTAATCAAATTGACAAAAATGAAAGACAAAGACAAATTACTGATAGCAACAAGGGAAAAACTACAAAAAACATACAAAGGAACTCCCATAAGGGTAACAGCTGATTTCTCAGCAGAAACTCTACAAGCCAGAAGGGAGTGACATGACATATTTAAAGTGATGAAAGGGAAGAACCTACAACCAAGATTATTCTACACAACACGGATCTCATTCAGATTTGATGGAGAAATCAAAAGCTTTACAGACAAGCAAAAGCTAAGAGAATTCAGCACCAACAAACCAGCTCTAAAAGAAATGCTAAAGGAACTTATCTAAGTTGGAAACACAAGAGATGAACAGAACCTACAAAAAAACCCCACCCATAACAATTACAAAAATGGTAATAGGAACATACATATGGATAATTACCTTAAACATGAATGGAATAAATGCTCCAACCAAAAGACACAGGCTCGCTGAATGGATACAAAAACAAGACTCATATATATGCTGTCTAAAAGAGACCCAGTTCAGACCTAGGGACACATAGAGACTGAAAATGAGAGGATGTGAAAAGATATTCCATGGAAATCAAAAGAAAGCTGGAATAGCAATTCTTATATCAGATAAAATGAGTTTAAAATAAAGACTGTTAAGAGACACAAGGAAGGACACTGCATAATGATCAAGGGATCAATCCAAGAAGAAAATATAAAAATTATAAATATATATGCATCCAACATAGGAACACCTCAATACATAAGGAAACTGCTAACAGCTATAAAAGAGGAAATTGACAGTAACACAATAATAGTGGGGGACATTTAACACCTCACTTACACCAATGGACAGATCATCCAAAAGGAAGTTAATAAGGAAAACAGGCTTTAAATGACACAGTAGACCAGATAGGTTTAATTGCTACTTATAGAAAATTCCATCCAAAAGAGCAGATTACACTTGCTTCTCAAGTGCACACAGAACGTTCTCTAGGATAGATCACATCTTGGGTCACAAATCAAGCCTCAGTAAATTGAAATCATATCAAGATTCTTTTCTGACCACAATGTTATGAGATTAGAAATCAATTACAGGGAAAAAACAGAAAAAACACAAACACATGGTGCCTAAACAATATGTTACTAAATAACGAAGAGATCACTAAAGAAATCAGAGGAAATCAAGAAAAATACTTACAGACAAATTACAATGAAAACACGACAATCCTAAACCTAAGAGCTGCAGCAAAAGCAGTTTGGTATAAAGAGGCAAGTTTATAGCAATACAAGCCTACATCAAGAAACAAGAAATATAAATAAAATTTCTAACATTTCACCTTAAGGAATTAGAGAAAGAAGAACAAACAAAACCCAAAGTTAGTAGAAGGAAAGAAATCATAAATATCAAGCAGAAATAAATGAAATAGAAAAAAAGAAAACAGTAGCAAAGATCAATAAAACTAAAAGCTGGTTCTCTGAGAAGATAAACAAAATTAATAAACCATTAGGCAGACACATCAAGAAAAAGAAGGAGAAGACTCAAATCAATAAAATTAGAAAGGAAAAAGGAGAAGTTACAACAGACACCGCAGAAATACAAAGCATCGTAAGGGACTACTACAAGAAACTCTATGCCAAAAAAAATGGACAACATGGAAGAAATGGAAAAATTCTTAGAAAAGCACAAACTTCCGAGACTGAACCAGGAAGAAATATAAAATATGAACCAACAAATCCCAAGTAATGAAATTGAAACTGTGATTAAAAATCTTCCAGGGTTTCCCTGGTGGAGCAGTGGATGAGAGTGCGCCTGCCAATGCAAGGGACATGGGTTTGTACCCCAGTCCGGGATGATTCCACATACCACGGTGCAGCTGGGCCCGTGAGCCATGGCTGCTGAGCCTGAGCATCCGGAGACTGTGCTCCACAACGAGAGAGGCCACAACACTGAGGGGCCAGCATACCACAAAAAAAAAAAAAAAAAAATCTTCCAACAAACAAAAGTCCAGGACCAGATGGCTTCACATGTGAAGTCTGTCAAATATTTAGAGAAGAGCTAACACCCATCCTTCTCAAACTCTTCCAAAAAATTTCAGAGGAAGGAACACTCCCAAACTCATTCTATGAAGCCAACATCACCCTGATACCAAAACCAGACAAAGATATTACAAAAAAAAATTACAGGCCAATATCACTGATGAATATAGATGCAAAAATGCTCAACAAAATACTAGAAAACAGGATACAACAACACATTAAAAGGATTGTACACCATGATCAAGGGGGACTTATCCCATGGATGCAAGGATTCTTAAATATATGCAAATCAATCAACGTGATACACCATATTAACAAATTGAAGGAGAAAAACCATATGATCATCTCAATAAATGCAGAGAAAGCTTCCGACAAAATTCAACACCCATTTATGATAAAAACCCTGCAGAAAGTAGGCATAGAGGGAACTTTCCACAACATAATAAAGGCAATATATGAAAAAACCACAGCCAACATCATCCTCAATGGTGAAAAACTGAAAGCATTTCCACTAAGATCAGGAAGAAGACAAAGTTGCCCACTCTCACCACTATTATTCAACATAGTTTTGGAAGTTTTAGCCACAGCAATCAGAGAAGAAAAAGAAATAAAAGGAATCCAAATGGGAAAAGGAGAAGTAAAGATGTCACTGTTTGCAGATAACGTGATACTATACATAGAGAATCCCAAAGATGCTACCAGAAAATTACTAGAGCTAATCAAGGAATTTGGTAAAGTAGCAAGATACAAAATTAAGGCACAGAAATCTCTGGCACTCCTATACACTAATGATAACAAATCTGAAAGTGAAATTAAGAAAACACTCCCATTTACCATTGCAACAAAAAGAATAAAATATCTAGGAATAAACCTACCTAAGGAGAAAATACCTGTATGCAGAAAACTGTAAGACACTGATGAAAGAAATTTTAGATGATACAAACAGATGGAGAGATATACCATGTTCTTGGACTGGAAGAATCAACACTGTGAAATGACTATACTACCCAAAGTAATCTACAGATTCAATGCATTCCCTATAAAACTACCAATGGTATTTTTCACAGAACGAGAACAAAAATTTCACAATTTGTATGTAAACATAAAAGATCTGAAGAGCCATAGCAATCTTGAGAATGAAAAGCGCAGCTGGAGGAATCAGACTCCCTGACTTCAGACGATACTACAAAGCTATGGTAATCCAGAAAATATGGTACTGGAACAAAAACAGAAAATAAGATCAATGGAACTGGATAGAAAGCCCAGAGATAAACCCACGCACATATGGTCACCTTATCTTTAATAAAGGAAGCAGGAATGTACAGTGGAGAAAGGACAGCCTCCTCAATAAGTGGTGCTGGGAAAACTGGACAGGTGCATGTAAAAGTATGAGATTAGATCACTCCCTAACACCATACACAAAAATAAGCTCAAAATGAATTAAAGACCTAAATGTAAGGCCAGAAACTATCAAACTCTTAGAGGAAAACATAGGCAGAACACTCTATGACATAAATCACAGCAAGATCCTTTTTGACCCACTTCCTAGAGAAATGGAAAGAAAAACAAATGGGACCTAATGAAATTAAAAGCTTTTGCACAGGAATGGAAACCGTAAATGAGGGGAAAAGACAACCCATAGAATCGGAGAAAATATTTGCAAATGAAGCAAGTGACAAAGGATCAATCTCCAAAATTTGCAAGCAGCTCATGTAGCTCAATATCAAAAAAGCAAACAACCCAATCCAAAAATTGGCAGAAAACCTAAATATACATTTCTTCAAAGAAGATACAGTTATTGCCTTCAATCACATGAAAGAATGCTCAACATGACTAATCTTTGAGAAATTCAAATCAAAACTACAATGAGGTATCACCTCACAGCAGATAGAATGGCCATCATTGAAAATCTACAAATAATAAATGCTGGAGACGGTGTACAGAAAAGGGAACCCTTTCTTCTTTTTTTTTTTTCTACATCTTTATTGGAGAATAATTCCTTTACATTGGTGTGTTAGTTTCTGCTTTATAACAAAGT